ACCTTAAACCGCATAAACACATTTCATTACACCAAATACACAAAATAATGTTATTTTTAGCAGCATCATATGACCCCTTTAAATTAGATGGAGATTTCAAAATTGAAGCATTTTTACTAGTGGTCTCAAACATTTGGACCCCACTGTATATAGCTCAACACATCTAGCTGCAGGGCAGATTAATGTATTTTTCTCTTTGCCTCTTTTCTGTCTGTGCTCTTCTGTGGATAATCAAACACCATGCCTCATACAAACCACATGAGTGGACGTGCAGCAAAACTGCAGCCGGTTGCTTGTCAACTATCCCTCACAGTCTGCACAACATTAGCTTTCCGTGTGTGTGTTTGTGTGTGTGTGTGTGTGTGTGTGTGTCTGTGTGTGTGTGTGTGTGTGTACCAAAGTCAGCGATCTTGGCATTCATGTTGCCATCCAGCAGTACATTTTCAGGCTTGAGGTCTCTGTGCACCACCATGTGTCTGTGGCAGTAATCTACCGCTGAGATGATCTGCTGGAAAAGACGTCTCGCCTCTGTGTCCTCCACCTGCACATGAGAGACACAACAGAGAGATTACTATATAAAACATTATCCTAAAAACAACTATTTTGTTCTCTGTGGGTTTAAGCTGTATGTATTGTATTTGATACATGGCAAGTCTCTAGAGCAGTACTTTCCTAAAGTAATAGCAAGAATAACTTTTATATTGTTAATAATATTTCAAAATGACAATTTACTGAATTTAAGGAACTTGTTCTTACTTAATAGTTCATATATTAAGTCTAGAAAAATTATGTTGAAAATCTGTCGAATGTGATACAGCAGCAATTAAAACAAATTAAATTTAATTAATTTGTAAAATAATGCAAGTAAAAATTACATTCTTGATGTACTTAAGAGTGGGATATTTATATACACATTAGTTACATTTGTTATATGCACAGCCTGCATCATTTTTTAAATGTCACATATTTTCATAAATACAAATACAAAATACAGGCATATATATATATATATATAGAGAGAGAGATATTCGTTTGATCTTAACGAAATATTTTGAATTTCTGACTATTACTATATACGTCCTTCTTTAATACCTAATACCTTGATTATTTTTATGAATATATATATATATATATTTATATATATATATATATATATACATATTTATATATATATACACACACACACACACACACATACATACACACAACAGACCACATAGGAATAAGCCTCTTTGTTATAATAGAAATTACTTTTTTTTCATAATAAATACCTTAAATGGTTAAAATACTACTAACCACTATTAATATTTAATTTTCACGTGATAATGCTAAAATATGGATAACTCATATTCTTAGGTCACATTCAGCTAAATTGGATCGCTTTTTATATGGCAGTAAAAAACTGACCCAATTTACCTGAATTATTCCTATAACCAAGAACATCATGTCATCAAAACATCATTCAAAAAGTTGGTCAAGTGTTGATGAATTAATACTCTAAAAATAAAAAGTTCAAATTTCACCATAGTCAGCTGAGTGTTTGTGCGTGCAAACTAAACAAGTCCTTCAATATGATTGTAGGCAACCCAGATAACACAAAGACTGAGCCCTATGGATGAACTCCCTGACCCTTCCCACGAACACTTCACTGGATCAGCTGCTGTTTGGATAAGCTGGATCCCCATAACCCCAACAGGTTTGGAAGACTCAAAGGTTAATCCATGCTCAAATCCAGACCAGAGCCACAAAAGTAAGTAAAAAGTCCCGAGGCTCATAAAGCAGCTTTGGGCTATTAGGTGACCAACACAAAAATAATAAACCATATTTAGTAATGGGAAAGTCATGTTTCCATAATTGAATATGATGTTAGAAAGCTAGTTTGAGAATTAATTGTGATGTTCAGTCATTTTCTAAAGCAAGTATGGCATGCAGATTTGTACACAATGTGAGAAAGTCACTGGCCTTTCCCATGAATCTAAGAGCCTTTTAGCCTGCAGCTGACTTTATTTGTAAAAGCTTGACAAAATGATTCTTACCCTTCCATGCTTACAAATATAGTCAAAGAGTTCCCCTCCAGACACATATTCCATCACCATGAAGAAGTCTGTGGGAGTGCTGATCACCTGATACCTGCAACACACCAGAGAAGAGAACCACAGAAACTCAACAAGAGGCTTTAATGTTGATGCTTTCAACATACAGCAATATAATAGAGCTAGTGTTGTTTTTGGCGGCCTGATTTAATTTTAGTTTTAGTCTAGTCTTTGTGTGAAGCTGTCATTTTAGTTTTTATTAGTTTTAGTCACGTTCATACTCTTTTTAGTCTAGTCAAGTTTTAGTCAACTAAAGAATTTAAATTCTTCACTAGTAGTACATAAGCATGTTGCTATATTAAATTTTAAGTTACAATTATTTCAATAATTAATAATTCATTTAATTTAATGCTGACACATAACAAACAAGTTGCAATATGTTGCTTAT